AAATTTAATACAATAATGTCAATATTTCATAAAAACTGCGTCATTATTTTGAAACACCAGTAATAAAATAAACCAAGCCTGCGCTTCAGTGCCAGTTTTCTCCGCTTTACCTACAGACAGACAACGGTCATCCATAAGGATAACGTATTGAAATGCGATTAACTGTTAACGCAACACCTTTTGAAGACATTAAAATATACGAGGATTTTGAATAACGAAACTTTATTTACAACTTAATAAATCCAAAGATACTCAAAACACAGTGAACAAAAATGAAACAGTCACATTAACTTGAAATTATATTCCTTACGGGTGGCAGCGAATTGTGAAAGAAAAATACATATCATTGTTAGCTATATAAATATTTTTGACCCAGAACCATCAGGCGTGGCATGGACGGTCCTGCAAATAACCAAGCACAATGTTTCCAACAAATACCTACAAAACAATTTAACTGGTAAATGAACCGTTAAAATACTCCCTGTGGACCTCACAGTAACATAACAGTACTTGGATAGACTCAACTGGATTATTTCTTTACAAACAAAGCACAATCATACCATTACTTTAGATATAACTAGATACACATAGATCCTTATAATTCAAGTTTATTCCCATTATTTGAGTTTACAGCAATGTAAACATAATATATGTATATATGTAATCGTACCTAATACATAATATACCAAGTCGAAACCCAGTAATAATTAATGAACAACTTACCTAATAATAATTTATGTACCTTTCATTCTAAATGAAATTGGAATGGTTGATAGGAAAATTATTTTCAAATAAAAAACATATTGACATTGGTTTATTCGAAATGGTAAACCCGCTTGCGCTATTGGTACATACTGACGGGGCACCAGTGTGGAATTATCACTAGTTCCTATGCCACTGTGTTAGATTGACTGGAAGAAATTTCTTTTAGAGATAAGTTCGCCTTTACTTACTTTGTTACTAATTTGTTACTATTACTGTATATTTTAATGCAATAAATAACATATATATAAATATAATTATAGATGAGGATGAATGTTGGCCCATTGTGCCAAATTCAGAATTAACCAAGACGCTAAGACGCACAGATACGTACGTAAACAAAGTATCAAATTTGAGGGAACGGTATTATTAGTAATGGGGACTAGCGACCCCATTAATAACAATACACATACTTTATTAGGTCATCCTCCACGTGGTTCCCCTGGAAACCGTGGCGATTAATTCTTGTTAAATTCTTCACGCCGGACTAACTAACCTACTTTTATTTTCACCTATGATCCCTTACTGGTTCCCGACCAGCGTATATAGATAGTGCAGACGGGCTTACCATTCCATTATCAACCCATAAAAAATGTATCAATCTTACAACACTTCTCTAAATAAAGAATTAAGAATGCGAAGTAAAATTAAATCAATCGCCCACAAACAATCCCACCCATCAAATATATTTAAACACACAAGTGTCTAGTTTTATTTATCGGTAGGTGGTGTCAGCTTTCCGCGGAATTTGACCGTAGCAATTTGTTATGGATAAACAATGAGTCGTGCGCAGGCCCACCCTCCGACCGATAGCGGGATTCACGAGGAGCATCCAATTTACGACCTAACTGTTATGTTTATACAACAATATTATTCATTTTCCATTACGGAACAAAACATTGACATACTGTGTATGCGCAGCATTAGAAGCTCTGCACGCCGGTTCACGATTTATAGCATATAGCGACTGAAACGACAACTATACTGATAAAACACAAGTATCAAGTTCTAAACTAACTAAAGCAAAATCAAGCACCTGCAAAGCATTCGGACGATCTGCGCACACGCTCACCTGCATTATGATTTATGTATAGGAATCGCCATTGTGCTGTCAAGGCGGCAAGCTCGCGAAAACTTATGAACCAAACCAAGTATGAACCGCATCAAATGTCTTACGCTTAGTTAGGCATTTATTTCATTGTCACTTGTTCCTTTTTTTACTTAGTTTATATATATATATATATATATACAGTTATATTTTTTACAATTATAATGAACTTAATACCTAGCAACGTTACGTAATATTCAACGATAAATGTATCTAATAGTTGAACATTTTTAACGGTTTTAGAATATCTACCAACTTATTCTCATATTGAATGGAACAATCGAAACTTACCCTCAATCTAAATCGTTCAACAAAATGAATTGCGGGTGATTCTCAATTCGATTAGAGATTAATGTGGTGTAACATGTTGCGCCAATTCTAAACCGATTTTGATTATTCATTATTAGTCGAAATTGTTTATTCCCCTGCTTGCTTATTTTATCAAGATCGACTGAATAAAATCTTGAATTGTGAATATCTTCGTATCACCGTCGAAATATGTCGTCTACTAAGAAACGTTCGCGTTATTAGCAAATAATGTAAAATTAACGATACATGGAGAAATGCATAAAGAAATATATACTTATTTTTAATTGCTTTCCGGTAGAAAGTGGGTGAACTTAACACGGAACGGGCCGTGCGAATTGGTATTGATACTTGTCGAAATAAAGACAAGGTGACGATACCTACTTGTCGCCGAAATCGTGTTTTTATCCCGATTAACATGAAACTGGCAGCCGGTAGGAAAATTAGAGTCTCCTATGTTGATATAAGTAACCTTTATTTGTAGTTTTCGAGTCTAAAAAATTTACTAATACAACAGTATACTTAGGTATAGTCACAAAATCATTTATTTCTTTGGATTTATTTACCTAACTACGAATAAATTATAAATAATTTCTATTTGTTTGTTTTCAGATATAAATTATATTAACATAGGATTTATAATAAATACCTGCTAACAAAATATGTACCATTATTTTGTAGCAGACTACAACACCTGCACTACAAGTAGCTATTTAACAGATTTCTTGTAATACGAATCAGTTTGACTAACGAGCTATTAAATTTCGCAATGCTGTTTTGTATTTCTTATGAGTAGATATTCATATGAAATGCTCTACTCTACTCTCCCTATTCTCAGTAACCTGCAACATACTCTATATTCTAGTATTTATAAGAAATTGTTTAGCTCTGCAAAAGTTGTCAGTCTTTCTAAACTATTTAGTTACTTCATTAATTAACTAAGAAACTGTTTAATAGTTATTATTGTCAGGACGTATAGTTACATCAATTACTCCAATATTCGGCTACTACATTTCAAAATATTAAAATTATTTGAATTTATTCATTTATTGATGAATCATATTGTTTTCATTTTTAAGAGAATTATTATTACATTTTACCATTCATAAACCGACCCAACAAGTTGAAAAAAAAAACACCAAGTCCTATCTAAAACAGTGAGGTCTCGAATCATATTATAATAATCAATAATTAATAACCGGCCCCATTGAATCGTAGGCGTTATTTGACATGCATCCATTTGTTTTACTTAACCCATAATGCTCTTATCCAACGCATCCTTTTAAGTCGGATCATTGTTTACTATTATAACTGTAAGTAGATAAATATTTTTTAAATCTATATTACGTAAAAATTAATATTATATTCGTATACTCAATTTTTACTTACGATCGTTAAATTCTCCAATGAGACTCCGAAAGATACATTTAATCTTTTGACTTTGAGCAGTATCACTAGCGCCACTCTAAACGCTAACTATAAATAAGTACTTGTTTTTTTAATATGTATAATAATGACAAATTATTTTAATTTTTTTTATAACACAAGGATCAAATGAGCATGCGGTTTACCTGATGGTAAGTGACCACCGCTGCCAATGATCACCCGCTACACCAGAGACAGGTGTGCTGCCGGCCTTTTAAAAAGGAATATGCTCTTTACTTGAAGATTATTATAAAATATTATATAAACTTCTATTATGTATTCTGTTTCTATTTTACTACTGTCTTAATGTAGTAGACAATTAAATAAACAGAAAAACAATATACCAACACAAGTTTTCTGCCAGGTAAATACGAAACAAACGCTATGGGCACGATAACCTTTGTCGGAAAAATCTAACCGAGGCGGTTAAATCTTTGGTTAAAAGGTTAACATCGAAACAATAACTTCACTATATAAACAACGTGTTAATATTAATTATGTACGTTATTTAAAAAATAATATTGCATTTTTTTTGTAATGCATAAGATTTATTCCTATATTGTTACTGATTTTTCTATTGATTTTCTTTTAATTTTTAAATCATTTTCGTGTCCTAACATTTCATTTCAAAACTGAACATACAATAGTCAGGACAAGTTGGCACCAATATAAGTAGGTTAGTACACAGATTTCATCACGATATAAATGCAAATTGCGTAGTAATTAGTAAACGTCTACAATACAACGAAATATAGACAGCGTACTTTGTGATCTACGGGGAGCGATTGGATAATAATCTTCAAAAGTATTCTTATAAAAATTATTATGTCCACTAAAACAGTAGGCCAGAATCAGTTCAATACTTTGTAAAAAAATTCAGAAAAAATCTGTAATTTTATTTATGACTATGAAAAGGCACTCCTGCCTATGTTAAAGGTGTACCTCAAGAGCAGTGGACGAAGAAATGATGAACATGACGGCAGGTCAATCAACCCATCGCGCATTGTTATGAATTCACGATGATTTCAAAGAGAACTGCGATTCTCCATCGATTGATGTATATTGTCTCAAAACAGAATTACTAACAATTACGATCTTAGCCAGAGGTAAACTCATTTTCTAAAATATCTTTGGTACAATAAAATAAAACTAACTATTGCTATCGCTTCTGCTTTTAACTTAATCCATATATATAAAATCAAACCTACTTGCGACAAAATGACGTCTTAATCCTAATTGATCGTTCTTATATTTATCTGCCAAATCATTACTTGTCTTGAGGCAAGTGTATGTTGTACTAGCATTACATAGCTTATATAATATTTGTATACAACATCTTACATACCCATGCCCTATATATTAAAAAAATAAACATTTAACATATAAATAAAAATAAATATACTGAAAGTAGCATTTTTATTAACAACAATTATATATTATATGTAGGTAAGGTGTTGATAAATCATGTGCTTACACAAAAATTCCAAATATCTGGTTTAACTGTCCATGTTTTAAAAAGCTTCTGTTTAACATTAAGCCAACTCTTTTCATACCTTGTTGCTTTTGCCTTCATTTGGTTGTATGGAATGTCAACAGGGTCATTATTGAAAATATTTTCTTTAATCATCTTGTTCTTGTGTAAATGATTTTGGAATCTCTGATAAATGTTATATTTACTGATGCATAGTGACTTTGTTAATGATTTTGCTGCTTTCTTTGTCACCCCTAACTTTTTTCCTTGCACTGCCACTTCCAAAGTCCTTAAAAAATATTTTGTCACATAAACATGTAATACTGTTATCTTATTATTTTTTTTTTTGAGATTCTTTAATAAAAAGAAAATAAGCATTATTAAGATTTCAAATATTATAAGAATATTATGTGTAGAAAAATGTCATATATCAATTAAAATCTTGTATATGAAACCTGAAAGAGACATGAAAAGAGCAACTATTTCTATGAAATCCCCTTTCAGACTTCTTATAAAGGTTCTTAAAAAAATTCCCTGCCAATCTTTGAATAAGATATTCAATTCAATAGTAAAAAACATATTGAAACCATATTAAATGCTTTTGTTATAAGAATAAGATTATTGTATTTTAGTTATTAGAAACTCATGTGTACAATAATTGTCATATTATTATTTTTATTATTTGAATCAAAATAAATTTTATTTCTTTTAATACAACTTAGAAGAGCAGAGAGAGAAGAGCAAACAAGTAGATGGCCCACCTGTTGTAAAATGATAACTGTCACCTATGCACATAAACAGCTCTGTGAACATTATAGTATAAACTGTGACACCAAAGGAGGGGGTCCTTTCATGCAGGGGCAGAAGGATTATTAGTACTAGGGATGCCAGTCCTCGTTGCTAGCAACATGCTATATACACCATCAGGTAGACCCCTACACTGTCCCACCTAGAAACCATTGTGGTTAATATCTATTGAATAAATCATGATGGACTGACTGAGTTGCTTTCATCCTCATTTATCACCCCTTACTGGTACCTGTCCAGTGTACACCGATAGCGCAAGCAGTATCAGTAATTCATTAATATCCTATTAATCCCTCCTGTCATGCACTGCCACGTAACATTTCCTCTATTCCAAATAAACAGTGTATTTATTTTAAATAACTTATATATTTAATCAGTTAGACTACAAAATAAAATGTTAAATAAATACTTACTGGTTTTCACTTTTAATCCATACTATACTTCCAGATGCTGGCCTTAAACGATGTTCTGTTTTTATATGATGAAATATAACAGAGCTTTGATAAAACTTTGGAGTATATTTTATTAGTAAGTCACTCACTGAGTTTCTGTGCAGGAAAGCTCTTTTCAATGACTCTTCTGAGTATGGCACTCCACCACCAAATATAAACGAACTAATATATATAGGATTAATTAAACACATATCCAATAATCTGCCTTGTATACCTAAATGAATCCATTTTGCTATTTTATCACTACAAGAAACAGATAATGTTCTGTCTCCTCGTCCAGGTTTGGTACGAACCTGTGCTACTAAGTGATAATTTCGACCTGCCTCTTTTGGGTCTTGTTCGGAATCGGGTAGACATTTTGCACCTGTCCTGTAAATATCAGATTCTAACTTTTGTTTTTTTATTATCCCATCACATACATTACCTTGAGCTTCACGCTTCTTAGATAAAATGTCACCGAAACACTCCTCATCGGCATTCTTAGAGAAAATTGAACCATCTCCACAGGGCAACTGTGATGAATAAAAAATAAAAGATATGTTACTTTTCAACCGAAACCGTCCATTTTCTTGAATAAATATTGATTGTTTATTTTCTATAGCACTATCAATATTATCATATAAATAAAGTAAAAAACCTCGTCTGGCAAATACTTCAGCGTGACTGTCATTCAATAGATCTCCTGATGGAGACAACTTGCTTGACCCAATGCATTTAGAACCGGTACCTAAGGATACCACATCAAATGTATCATTTTCTGTATCATGTTGCACCACACAAGACAACACGGTCCATTCATCTTCAGTGGGTTTTCCTGTTTTCGGTAATTTATTATACAAATTCAAACAATGCTGGACAATTTTATCAACAAATGTTTTCGAAGTGTTTTGGAGGTTAGACATTTAAAAAATATTTGTATCTGTATATTTTTTATAATTCGTATAAAAAATTAAATTAAAATACTAATTAAAAGTAAAATAAGAATACAATAAAGAGAAAAAACTGAGAAACTTTAACAAGAAGAAATACAGTATATTTTAAGAGTCGACATCGCTATTATTTTGGCAAAAATGGAAAATTATCTATGCAACCACCTAGAAATACGAACATAATAATATAAAGGAATATTTACAGTATTTTACAAATATTTAGAACAAAACTCTATCGAAATATCGATATCTATAAGTATAACCAAATATATAGTTTTAAATTGCCGTATTTAATTAATTGGTTACATAAATATCATATTATCGTATTTTGTTCGCAGTGATGTGAGCTTTTGACATTTACTATACTGTCAGTATCACGGTGTCATATAATCAAATAAGTTGGTCATAGATGTAGAATTTGAAGTAAATTACTAATATTGGATTAAATATTTTTTAATTAAATCATTTGCATAAAATAATAATAGTAATACTACTACACAAATACAGAACTTTTTTACTTAATGTGTTGACAATATATGAATGTCCATAAAGTTGGCTATCAGTGCTCGACCAACTTTAAATTGCCTTAATCGGTGACTCTGTAGGAAATACGCTTTTTTTTATGGGTAAAAATAGAATGATAACTCCGCCTGCGCTAACGGGATACGCTGGCAGAGCACCAGTGAAGGGTGATAAATAAGAATGAAAACAGGCCAGTTAGCCCATCATGATGAATTCATCAGGAATTAACCATGATAGTTTCCAAGGGGAACCGCAAGGAGGTCGACCTGGTTGGGTATATTGCTAGCAATAAAATTCTTAGTCTCCATCATTAACAATCCCTTTCCCCCGGAAATACGCTTTAGCTACGCCTACCTATGTTTACTAAAGAAAAATGATAATGAATGGTAACCACGCCTATGTTATCAGCATACGCTGGAGGACCACCAGTGAGATATCACCGGATAATAGGTGAGGATGGAAACAAATCAGTTAGCCCATTCTGATGAAGTAAATTAGAAACACGAATCGGTTTTTTGGATGATTTTGGACCAGTAAATAGTAAACCGGCACATTGATCTTAGGAAATATACGAGTTGTACTTTAAATCATAATCACCATCATACCAGCCATTAATGTTCCCATGCCAAACATAGGCATCTTCCTTTTGTGAGGTTTTACTAATAGTTGACACGCTTAATAGGCGAGTTGGCAACCTCAGGTAAGCTTTGGTGATGTTTAAAGAGCGAAACTGTTGCCCATCCCTCGAGCATTAAGATCCCTTAGTCGCCTCTTACGACACCCACGAGAAAAATGGAGGGAACCTTCCTAGTTGTAGTTTAAATGACGAATTGAGTAGTATTTATCTGTACAAATTTCTGAACAAATAGTTAAATAGCTATTTATACAAACGTAATTATTATTTAATAACTATTAAAAAAACTTGTTTCTATTAGCTATTCGTAATTAACACCTGTACCATATTAAATAAACATGTTTAATTGGTGAAATTGCAATTAATAACTATGAGAAAGCCTTAATCAATATAAAAATTGGCACAAGTTAAATTTATTGCCAATATGCGCTATTTGGAGAAAGTGGATGTCATTATTTCAAACTTGTAATCTTTTGTAATTTAAAAATAGTTATAACGAAGTGTGATTTGGATTCAAATATGATAGACAAAAAGAATCCATGACTGCATTCAATACAATTGCGTACCAAGTAGATACTATTTGTACTAGTACGTACCTATACTGTGCCACATCTACAGCAGTTGATAAAATACTTATCCCTGAAGACTTCATCTTGGATTGCAGTTAAAAAAAAATTGTATAATAATATCAGCCGTCTACTGGTGAACATGGGCTTTCCCAAATGGGATATAGATAAATTATATAAATACTTATAATTTTTTACACTATAGGTACCTACATATATTTCTTCCTAATAATGGATACTTTTGCAATAATAAATAAGTTAAACAGTTCTTAAAGTTAGTTGAAACTGGAATAAAAAAATAACAAAATGGCCTTCACATGAGTAATACTTTACATAATATATATATATATTAAATATTAATTACAAACAAACTGCATAAATCACGATGGTGAGTTTATTTACTTCTTGACAGTGAACACACGCATCGACTACTTACGTGTATTAACTTATAATAGTCATCCTCTATGAAAAATTTAAGTACTGGAAATTCCTATAGGAAATAGATAAAATAGAATTCGCACAAAGTCGAACTGTTTGCTTCTAGATAGGTATTTACTATAAAAGCGAAAGTGAATCTGTCTGAGATGTTAAGTAGATGTAGATACCTAGTAATTTTCTTGACTAAACTATTGAAATGGATTATAAGTTGACGGAAATGGAAAAACGCATGAATGTAATGGAAAGCTTTACTGGCTATAGTTGTTTTGCTAATAAATCTAGGAACCTATATTTATGTAGATTATATTTACGTAGATAGATATTTTCAATATCGAATAAAGATAGGTATAAAAGATTACTAAAAATTTTTATCTGTAATTTTTAAATTGAAAAAATGAGTCACCAAACATTTTTTGTTCCCAAGATGCCATACGATGGAACTAGAGCAAAGCATGGCATGTAACAAGTGAATGCATGAAAAGGACTCGAAATAAGTATAAACTAAACAAAATCTAAACAGATCTATTTTATGTTTTACATTTAATAAATATTTTAGACAAAATCTAAAGTCAAAATGTTTGGTAATATTAATAAAATCATTTTACACTGACACCAAATAATTGAAAACACAAAACGAAAATTACACAACAGCTTTACGATTTTAAAACAAAGGGCTTGTACCAACAAATTAATACATAACTTTGGTAATCTTCGGAATGCATAGATACCATCTAATGCACGCTTTTATCAAACGATGGATCACAATGCTTACTCTGTCTCGATGGTTCAATGTCTCTCTGTGGACCGATCAAGTATATAGTTAGGAAGGTAGGTACCTAGAAACAAAAAGTACCTTAAATCAAATAAAAAAATATATAAGTGTACCCTTTATTGTGTTTACTAACGGGGAAAAATAGTAAAAAAATCAAATCGTTATTTTTATATATTTATTTTGAAAAAACATTTGGTAACATGTAAACAACCAAATATTAAAATAAAATCGATTGTAGGCGCCTAATGATTTATAATCCCTGTATCAAATTTGAAACTTCAGGTATTTAAGGGTTAAATAATACGTACCTACGTGATTAAGTATCGTATATGAATAAAAGGAATGGCGCAAAATATTGTTTATTTACTACATCACATTAGAAACCTTTTAAATTATCAGTGTCTCTCTACTATATTACTATGAATGTATTATACATATAAACGTATCTGTTGAATCACTCTGTCTATTAAAAAAAAACCACTTCAAAATCCGTTGCGTAGTTTCAAAGATCTAAGCATACGTAGGAACAGACAGACGGAAAGCGACTTTGTTTTATACTATGTAGCAATAGTAGTTTGTATAAACTTGGTGGAAAAACAATCGAAAAATACGGTTGATTTACGATCATTATTTCTAGGGAAATGTGCGGGAGTACCTAAACGTAATTATAATTATCTAATCATATTAGAGTATATCGTAGGTGCATTAATAGCAGATAGAATCGATCAATGAGACCATGTAAAAAATGTGAAAAAGTCAATTAAGTCACTAGCATTATGTTGTCAATCACTAAACAACATAAACTATTATACACAACACACCACCGTTATTAGTGTTCTATACAAAGTAATGGCTTAATCACAACCATAGTTGAGCCAAAAGCTCCATCTAATTTAAGTAATATGCAAAATAAAGACTTCATCAATCATATTACCATTGAAGCGGAGCCGTGGATAACGGGAATTATAGATTATCTGAAAATCATAGCGATAACCATAGATTATATTTTTAATTAATAACGGATAGGTATTTTGAATAATTGATTTTTTAATACATATTTTAATTCAAGTAGATATACTTGCGACAATCTTATAAAATTTAATGATTATTCGACAATTACTAACAACAAATTTCTAGAGAATATTTTGGTAAATACACCTAAAAATGCCTTAAATTAGTTGACCAGTTGTATTCTTTATTTAAATTTATTCTTACTCTATATAATTTGATATGTCCATCACATAAGCTTTATGTTCAAGCAATCTCTGGTTTTATTCGACGACTTTATCCAACCTTCAGTTTAGACTAAGATTCTCTCAAATTTAATCCTTATATCCGTACTTATACACAATACTGTTTGGATCCATTACCTCAAATACCTTTGACGATGTTCATAATTGAGATTAGGTAATTCACCATCAAAACAAATCTCACACTATAAACCCAACGAAAATATAGTATAGACCTCATTGACCACATTCATCATAACTTGCCGGACATGGATGTTAAAGTTCCCTATTGCAGCGTTCAGTGGGCGTTGATGAAAGAGGGTAGTTTGTCATTCCACACCTCATTACCGCCCAAGATGACAGGCCCGTTCTCAACACTAATTTGAATATCAAAGCTTCCAAATGATCCAAGATCCAAAATAAAAAGAGGTGAGTATCACGAATAGCTTAAATTCACTTTGTGATAAGATCGATATATTGTATGAGATAAAAAATTGTTTAGCATATAAAGTGTAGCGTTTCACCACACCGCGTTGTTCTTTATCTATAGAAAGTATTAAATATTATTTGATACATTCAATTACAGCTATATCTGTATGAAAATATAAATAATATATAAACAAAATTATTTTTTATTAAAGTAATAATAATACGTAATTTCGTATATACAAAAACTTTTAAATAGGTTCTACTACTTATATGAGGGTATCGCCTTTCAATCTTAAGAGTTGTTAGAGAGATTTAGTTACTTAAAACGCTTCTGATTTTTGCCTTACCTGACGACAAATTTTAATTAAATGTTTTGCAAAGCAACAAGCCAATCCAAAAGTGTATTTTCAAACTAAAAAATTTCACTTAGCATTTGATCTTAAGATCCTCGCACCACAATCAAGCATTTTCTAATCGAACTGTCGTCACTTTTTTGGAAAATATAAATATGTGTCTAATCTATTTATTTAAAGTTATTCAATTTTACT